CATCAATTAACATTTGCTTTGTGTCTAAGTCTTTCCAAATGATGATGTAAATGAATTATGGCTGTTGCCAACGGACAGGCAAGGGCAGAGTAGGGACACAGTCTCATAATTGACATCTTGTAATAATGTTAAACGATGTTGTTTGAAACTCTGAATCTCTCTGGACGACGTCAGCAGTAATGACCAGACATTTGTCTTTGACCGCAGAGGGAGTCGCACTAAACAAACAGCAAAGATAATGGAGCCTCGAGTGTCTCGTCTGTTGATTTTCAACCTTGCTGTTGCTGGTTTGGAAGGATGAACACACATGTGTTCACTATTTGTATTTACTGAAGTCAACTGGAAAAGAGTGACACATTCAATATCTTTTCAGAGTACAGAGAGCATCTCCGACCGTCCTAAATCTGGCCTGACAAAAACTGCTCTGTTTGTGCGCTGCAGATTTACAGTTATAGATCCCTGACAGCTGTAATACAGTCACACACACATGCAGTGCACTCACACTTGTCTATTTACAATATTGCTGCAAAAACCACTCCATTTGTAAGCACAAAAGAGGGCAGCTTTGCATACAAAGTGGAAGACGGTGTACACTCCACTACAATGCCTGATATCTGGGGGATTCTCCTGCTGGCTGCGATCTATAAATACTGTTCACATCCTCTGTCAGGGATTCACCGGGGGAGTGATACAAGCTCACAGAGACCTCCAAGAGTGTAACTGCCAGGAAGTCATGACTGCTCAGCCATAAAACGAGACCCTTATCTATGTCAACATGTGTGCAGTTAAAGTGTCTGCCAGTTTACTTAAGTTATGGGCTGCGCTTCAAATTTGTAACAGCGGTGTTAGCAAGTTAAGATCCTTTTTTTTTTTTTTTAAACTTAATAGATAAATAAATAAAAATAGAATGTATGTTAGTAACATGGATGTTTTCAGTTGTCCCAGTGGTTCATGCATAATAGGCTGAACTTGGCTCTGGATGGCGGTTTTAATATAGTGCTCATTAAACGGGAAGACACTTGGCACAACGTAAGGTTCACATACACGTTTACCAAATCATATTCAGTGAGTGCGACTCTCCCACACAGGCTGAATGCACACATAAATGTTTAATGGATGTGTTGAGGAACACGAATAATAAGATGATTACTGTTATGCCATTGACATCAACAGTCTGAGTGGGTGAAGTAGCATAAGTGCAGGTGTAATTTGTGATGCGTTAACGGGTCTTTTCCTTCCTCGGATACAGAGAGAGAGACGAAGGTTAATAATTGGAAAAGATTGTGTAATTACGACTTAAACATATCAGGTTTTGGATGAGAGATGTATAAAGATCGGATATACATAAGCACATGCAGTGGATGAAGCGGGAGAGCAATTGCTTTTAAAGTAGTAATGGTTTGAATACATATCAGCGTTTATGACATCTGCATGACACAAGGGCACTGAAAAGGGCAGGATGCCTTGCCACTGACCCTGCCCACCTAGGCAACCATCTGCTCAAAAATCATTCCCTGGAAGCAGATCCATTAAGAGCTGTGAGTACTTAATCAGTCTCCCTAAAGCTCACCCAGTATTCACAATGTCTTCTCTATTCAGTGCAGGCGTCTGTAATCCTCATCACTGTTACCCCTGCAAATACCTTGTTCATTGTTCCAGGAAGTTTCTTTTTCACCGTCAACAGAATTTCCTAGACTTGAAATGAATCACAGTCAACATCTTCCACACTGACATCTAATTGGATTTATGGAGTTGTTCTTGTTCCAAAAATAGCAGCTGATCTCCAATTTGGATCATATTGCCAATATAGTTATTACTGCAGAACTAATTGTAATCCAAACAAAATGCTAGATTAAAGATACCAAAATGCCTGGAGGCAGGATTACAAAGACTGTAACAAAGATGATTTATTTGCTAATTATAATCATTCAATTAATTGAAGAATTTAAAAAGAAATCTGTAAAGTGATTTGTGATAATTACATTTATGTGTGAGTATGAGAGAAAATGTTGGCGACTTTGCTCTGCAGTAAAGAGACTGGGAGTTTGTTAAATGCAGTCAAGTGTTGCTAGAAACAGCATCTAGTGGCCATTCGAGAAAATGCAGCTTCATGCTCTTGAGCTTGAGCTTTAACACCGAAACCAAAGTGGTCATTGGTTGGTAAAACATCGAAGGACCTGATGATATTGTTAATGGCCTCAAGAAAGGCTGGAAGTCATTTTACAGCTGGGTAAAGTTTGGAAATTAGGGAAGCTGCATTTCTATGAATAGAAAATAAATTACAGATACACTTCTAACAGCTGCTTGAAGGCTTGTGCCCAGCTGACCATCGTGCCCTCACCTTTAAATTCCATTATATTTACCAATCACAGACCTACTATGACAAAATTTTTAGCTCTTCCCTTAGTCACTGTGTTTGAACTTGCAGACACATTAAGAAGTCGGGGTTGTCAGTAAGAAAATGTATTTTCTTGCTGGTTCACTGGTACGATATACTATTCTCTATGGGTCATCTGCAATTCCTCCTGAAGCTGAAACTAAACGAAACACTTGAATTTCTTTATCCATGGCAGGATTTTTCATGTAGTGTCCGCAGTGTGACAAGCAGTGTCTCTTTGCACAGGATACACGGTCCTTTTGTCCTCGTGCGATGTGTTTGTTTGTGTGCACTCCCAAACTGTAGTCAGGAACAATGTCACCAAGAGAAATTGGACTTCATCACACAGCTTGCTTGTTTTTTTCTTTACTAATATAAATTTTTAAAATTACATTAATTTACTATTGATGGATTTGTGTAATAGTAATGGGTTTATTAAGGGTATAGATGTGAGGTTCACTGAATCAGTTTCGGTAGGAAATTTGGCAGGTTTGGCAGATTATTTTTGTTATGATTTATTATTATCATGGTATATTCTTGTTCTGGGTTTTTATTGGGTTTAGGGTTTTGTTTTTCTTGGCTCCTGATATAATCTACACTCTGCCTGTGCTTTGGGTCTTTAAATCTGAATGCTCAAAAACAACATCCACAATTACTGTTCTTTTTTTCTAGCATTGTTTTTATAGCTATTTTCCAAAGTTTAATATATTGCAGTTCAGTGATGTGTTCAATCTATTTCTCAGATGATTTTACACTTGTCAGATTACACAGGGAGTGTATATACACACCTTGTGAGGAAAAAAACTATTATCATAAATATGATTAGGGAGAGTAATTACATGAGTTGAGCAATCAGGGAACTTCTGCCCTGAAGTAATTAAAGATTTTGTGGATGAAACCACATTCGCAGGTTGATTTTCAAGACCTCTATGGAAAAGGGAGCGATTTCCATCCAGGCACACTGGACTGCAGCACTGTTCACTGACCAACAACATTCATTTAGACAGTCAGTGCTGCAGCTCCCACACTGTGTGTTAAGGTGGAGCAGCAGTAGCGTAAAGGGTCGCTGCCCTGTGGTATGTGGGAGGCTGCTGTTTCCAACCCTCAGTCCGGCTGAAGGATCTATAACCACGAGAAGAATTTGAAACTTGTACACCTCTCTCCGAACACATGTTATCAGTGCTGGTGGAGCTGCTCCGTGACAAAATGAAGAGCACTGTTTACCCTTGGTACTGCTGCGGTTTGAGGCCATGTAAATGTAGCAGTGCATTATGTGCCCGGCGAGTCTTCCCTTGGTAAATACTTTCACGCTTGAATGCTCAGTCACACTATGTTCTGAATATTTAATGCCACTCAATTAGTGAACTACAGTTTGAAAACGACTTCTCCATTACCTGAAAAGCTGTATCATCATTGACTGCGCAACTTCCCCCTGCAACATCCTTGTCATTTTATTATTCTTCTAATTCTTGTTTTTCCATAGCCACCCTTTTGATTAAATTTATGCCGTCATTGCAGATAGTGGATTTTCAATGTCAAATGAGTGGCTCAAAGTGAGGCCAGGCGGCCACTTGTGTGCACAAGCAACCTACAGACAGAACGGGGGGGGAATGGAATTCCCTTCTCATAAAAGATTTTGTGATATCAAATCTGATCTGAGTTATCTCTTTATTGTAGTCTGCCTGGCTATGTTCCAAATCACCGCCAGCTGTGCTCTCTCATTGTAGGGACCATTTGCTAAAACAGAACCTCCATTCTTAACAGCTATGCACCACATTTACAACAGCAAGAGTGATTTTAATGCTCCAGTGAATCTTTTATGTGATCTAAGTACAACGCTGTGTTGTAGATGGTGGATTTTTATTAATTAACAACGATATGCAATACATCAAACAAGCCCAAAAGAGATGAGAGGAAGTAATTCAAGACTAGAAATGAATCAATCTAACATCCTAATGATGGCTTTTTATCTGCCATAGATTTCCCTGAAGAGGTATCCTCCTTCTATTTTTATAAAACTGTCATTCATCACAGCTGTGGCTAAAATGCAAATGACCTATACAGAAAGTGATCTCAGGTGCAAGTAAGTCTCACAGGTGCCATGGATATAATAACCAGGATCTATGGCATTCAGATCACAACTTTATGACAATGTCCCATGTATGGAGAACTTGGGTTATGTATGGACACATAAGGATTATTAGCTGTAATTTATTGCAATTATTGGAGGATGATGTGATTTTTTTTTTTAATTCATACACAAAAACCAAAAACGATTTTTTGTGTGTCTTTGTGCCAAAAATCAGAATGCAGAATCAGTATTGCAAATATGGAGACCAAACTGTGACCATAACGCACATAGTCTGTCCAAAATTTTTGTGGAACACTTGAACTCTCACCACGATGGAGAATATCTGTACTGCTGAAGCCTTTTTTTCCCCCATAAGCAGACCCACAGTCCAGTGCACACAGAGGGCAAGCAGCGCACACCGGCAGGATCTGTCCGGGGTCCTGAACTGGTTCACCAGCTGGACGTTGCGTTCAGATGCAGCAACTCTTACAATCCCCAACTTGAAATCACAATCCATCCAACCAACCAAGAAACCAAGCAACCAAGACTCACCTTCCACCTCATCCTCAGGCAGGTTAACAGGGGTCCGGTAGGAGAGGACATCTGGAATAGTGCAAAGTCCCTTGTACATGAACCTGGTGGTCACAGCACGCACTGGCATTTCTGCGAGGGAAAAGCAACAACTGTGTCGCGATCTTCATATAGCCTGGCTCTCCGGAGTTTTAAGAGAGACCCTTTGCCACTGTCCTTGATATTTTAGAACAGAATCTCAAGCAAAATCACACACTCCGCAAAGTTCAACCCTCGTCGTGTTTTCGATGTTTTCTAGAACACTGAAATATGAATGAAACCACCTCGCACTGCGCTGCGTGTTTGCCCAATAATGCAGCGTGTAAATCGCCTTTGATTTCAATGCATAGCCTGTAGCAGTACTGTGAGCAAGATATGAATAGATATTTCATAAAAAATCACATCTAAAACTTTTCCTTCATAGCCTGATGAGCAGAGCTCGAGACAGTCTGCAATGTTCAATAATGCCTTAAATGATCATTCAGGTGCTGATCAGCTCATATATTAAAATCTCCATCCAAAGAGATAAACATTCTTCTATTCACGTTGCCTATATCTCCTGCATTTCAGTATTTGAAAAATAATAAGAGAGGAAAATGAAAAATGTAAATGAAGTTCAAAAATATTTGCTCTAAATCGATCTTTTCTCTATTGATTCCCTACAACGCGTCTTATTCTACATCAAACAGTCTAATCCCGATATATTTAGCCTCACTTTTCTTTCCCGTTTCGGCATCTTCTTAAGAGAAAAAAAAACACGAATCGGTGATAGGTACAAGATTAAGCAGCAGCGCTGACGAGCTGATCCTATCCAGCAAAGGAGGTACAAACAAAATCTTGGAACATTTTTTTTCCTGGAGAGCAGCTTCAAGGGAATCCGGGGTGACCCCCTTCTCATCTGATACAGACACGCTGCATGAGGCAGTGATCCTCTCTCTCTCTCTCTCTCTCTCTCTCTCTCCAGCTGTCTGCTCCAGTCTCATTTGGGCTCTCAAAAGCCACCGCGCGCGCGCGCGCGCGCACGCACACACACACACACACACACACACACACACACACACACACACCACACTGCCGCCTCTGCCACAGAGTCTGTTGACCGTTTCCAAATTGTCCGCCTGCTATGAGATTTTCTTCTTTCTCCCATTACATTAAAAACAACTAGTCAAACTATATATTGTCTGACAGGTACAAAGTGCAGGCACGTTTGATGAATCAGAAAAGTGGGAATGTAGCAACAAGTGATGCTCTGCAGCCCTGACACTCACCTGTTTCTTTTGTATTTCAGCTTTTAGTTTGGTCATAATATTGCCACCAATACTATTGGACTAGTGTCCTGCTGAAAAATTAAATCAAGCCTCAGGCCATTTGGTCCTTATCCAAAAAGCGGTTCACGATCAAACAGAAATTCAGTGAAACCCAGAATATAAAAAATTAAGCAGTGGTTTTAAGATGCTTATTCATCAAAGAGAAAACCATCAAAGAACAGATCAAAAATAACCACATCCATTTTTAGGGAAATACACATTTATAAAGTGCTTATGTAGCAATTTCAGGATGTTAGGGTTTAGTGTCTTGCCCAAGGACACTGACATATTGGCAGGAGCCACTGGGATCACACTGAGAAGATTGACACCACTGTCATATCTGTGCAATAAATATGAAGCTACAGCCAGCAGCCACTTAGCTTAGCATAAAGACTGCAAGTAGGTGGAAAGAGCTAGCTTGGCTCTGTGCAAAGGTAACAAAACCAGCCTTTACCAGTACAGTTGTAGCTTCATATTTACTGCACAGACATGAGAGTGGTAATCTTTTCATCTAACTCTCGACAGGAAAGTCAGTAAGTGTAGTTCCCAAAATGTCAAACTCTTCCTTTAAAACACTGAGTTGGAGCTTATCAATATACCTTAGCTACTGACAGTAAAGTTGACGGCAGCATAAACAACTCAAAGCAAACTACCTTGTTGCTCATTCATCAGTGCAGGCTGAACATATTTCCCATGTGAAAGATGCAATTTTCTTGCAATCTTGTCAAGGCCAAGGATTTATTGGAGCTATCACACCAAAACTGACAGCGGTTTACAGGGTGAATCTGAATTTGCTCATGACAAACATCCCTTTCCTGGAAATGAGCAAACCCACACACACAGGGCTACAGGCAGCACACTTATTTATTTATTTCAACCCCAAAACAAAGCAGCACACACCCTCGCATTGTGTTCAGAACCAGCTGTATACGACTCTGAAACTGAAATGTGATGAATGTTTACTGCGCTGTATCCAAACCAAACCTCAGAAAAACACAAACACAAATCCACCGTTGAGAATTCCAGCATCTTGCACGATGATGCCCTGCGTTAATATATTTCCACCCTGGTTCTCGCCAGATAAGTGTGATGTGTGCTGCGAGGGCTGCATGTGGTTCCACTGGCTGGTTCTTCAAGGGTTTTTTTTTTTTTTTTTTTACAGGAGTAAGGTTTGTTCCCCTCTGAATGTAAAGGGATTGTCTCCTTCTGCTGCACCTGAGCTTCCCGCTGGCACAAACACACTTCTTTAAAATGTGAAAAACAGGCTTTGTTCTTTCTCCCACGCAACATGATGGATATATGATGGCTCAGATTCTGAGAGTTTAATCATTTTCATGCAGTCTTTTAAAACTCTGGCAGAGAGAAGCACAGATATCCAGTAATTGTATACCCAGGGCAGTAATATATGCTGTTCATAAAAAGACAGGTTGATGGAAAAGATTTTTGAAAATGCTCGAATGGAGCTTGTTGTAAATGAAGCCTGTTTGCAGCATGTTTCAAACACAATAATATTCTCAAATATCCAACATAGACACTGCATTCACGAAATGAGTAAATTATTACACAACAAAGCTTTAATGTAATTACTGAAAAGATTGTTAAAACTAACAGTCTCTCGAATGTAAAGCACAACAGCTCACTGCACAATAACCTTCATAACAAAATGTTAAAATTGCATAAACTAAAAAAAAAAAAACAGACAGTCCTTTTATCTATACAGCATGGCGAGCCAAGACATTTTTTATTCTCTACTCTGAAAAGTCTCTGTGAACAGCTCAGTCTCACTCTCAAACTCCTCAAACCCTATCTAGCCAATATTTTAAGAGACAGGAGGAGTGTGAGAGTCACCTTTGTATTGCAATGGATGGCTGTGCAGTTGCAGCTATAAGTAGTCAGCTAAAATATGCCTCCTATAGAGTTCAAAAGGGGCTATGGTGGTCATTCAGTGGGGATCACAGAGAGGAATATCATCCCAGCCCGGGGGGGAGGGCTTCGACTGGTGGAGAGCACCTCAGTCTGCACATCCATCCTATCATCATCAAATTAAGCCTCTGGGGTGGGCTGAAGGTTGTCTTCAGAGGCAACGGGCCTGAAAGCAGGGAGGTAAGAGACATCAAAACCACAGCGGCTGACATCCAGGAGGCCAAGATGGAAATATTCAGGAGCAAAAACTCTTGTAAATTTCAAGGACAGAATCCTACATTCAGTCCTGATCGAAGTCCCAGACAAACACAGCAGGCAGGGTGAGGATGGTTTAGCACCGCATGATCAGAAAGGCTGCAGAGGCACATTTCACTGCAGTTTGAGAGTGTGCGTTGTGAACTATACTGTATCACACTAAGTTAACAAAGGTGCTTTTAATGGTATAAAGAAGCAGAAGGGCTTTGGAGAAATCCAAATATTACAACTAAACCTTGTATGCCTGTTGTCCAGGGGCTGCTGTCACAAAGACACTTCAGACTGGTCTGCAGGCCTGTCTTAATTTTGTTCTTAGATTGAACTAATACAGTTTTCACAAAAGAGAATGAATAGTGACTTACTTTTCAGCCTACAAAATTAGCCTCCCTCACCCCAGGCTAACAAAGAGCCACGTTTCCATGGTAACAGAGTCACACTTGACAAAGGTGACAAAAAAGAGCAAAACATGGCTCATAATTTATGGTTTTCTAAAAATGTTTTGGGGGCGAGTAATGAGTTTTGAGTTTTTTTTTTTTAGAGACCACAATAAAGTGTCAGAAATATACAGCAGCGAGGACGTCGTCAGTCACTTTTACTTGCCTTAAGAAAATATCCTGAGCCTGGCTGATGGACAGACACACTGAGTCCTGCCACATTAAAAAGTCACAGTAGCTCAGCTGTGCCACAGGTCTGCACTGAGCTGAGGTTTTATGTTACTAAAAGTTTGTGCAATGAATGAATTTAAATGTCTCTCTTTCATCTGACTGACTACTAGTTTGATCTAGTCAAGGTTTCTCTTTGTAAGACCGGCCCCTGCTGTTAAACTTAGAGGGGCTACCATGGCCGCGGGAAGTGGGGGAGCATTCTTTTTTTTTTTTATAGTGTTGACATGACCAGCTCCAACCCTCGAGGGCGCCGATCATTAGCCAATCAGAGGCAGTGTAGGGCGGGTCATGTCAACTCTGTGCTCTGCTACTGCTACTCTGCTAACAGGTGTCAAGCTAGGACTGACTTGGCGGCATTTGTGGAGTCTTTCCAGCCACCCAACTTCAATTTTCCGGCCAGACGTTTTGAGAAAGAAACTTTCAGCCGTGCATTTACACCAACTTGGTTTGCTAAATGGAAGTGGTTTCATTACGCGGCGGAGTGTGATCAGGTTGTGTGTTTCACTTGCGTGAAGAGGTAGCAGAGTTAAACCCAAAGAGCCGGACCAAGGCCGTCCTGGACCTCCAGCTGAAAATGCTTGGCCATGTCACCAGAGAGTCTCGTGTCACAGTTCAAGATGCAGCAACATAAGCCTAAGCTCCATCCACAAACAAGAGCTCTGTTTACAGAAGCTGAAAAACTCTTAGTTATGTTTGTGCCTGCTCATCTCTGTGGCCTCTTCCGAGTGGACCTTCTCCAACTTCTATCCGTGAAAACATGGCTACAGCAACACCATGACCCAGAGGGGACACTGCTGCTGCTTTTTTGGTCTGTGTTGCAGGAGTATTGTTGTAGGCCTATGTTGTATTTGTATGGGTTGGGGTAAAATGCTCTTCCCACAACAGCATCCCCAACTTTAAACATCTTCCTACACTCTCATTGTTTGACATCTCTTGGGATT